AGAGAAAGACAAGTACCACATGATCTCACTTATTTATGGAATGCCATGAACAAAATAAGCTCTCAACCAAAATAGTTCCAGAGTCATGGAATCATAAAATAGACTGACAAACCTCAGATGGATAGGGGTGGGGGAAAGGGAAGAAATAAACCAAAGAACTTATATGCATATATGCACAACCAATGGACACAGACATTAGTTTGCATAAAGCAGGAGGAGGATAAGAGTGGGTAGGAAGGAATTGTTGGGGAAAAAAGGGGGGGCATCTGTGATACTTTCAACAATAAAATAATAATAATAAATTTAATAATAATAAGAGGAAAAAGAAGAGGAGGAGGAGGAGAGAAAGAAAGCAGAAATACCCTGTTTTAATTTGCTTTTTGAATCCTCACCTGAGGACACTTTTCCATTTATCTTCAGATAGAATGGGAGAGGGAAGGAGAGAAATATTGATGTGAGAGAGGCACATTAACTGGTTGCCTCCTGCACGACCCTGACCAGGGCCAGGGACTGAACCACAACCAAGGTATGTGCCCTTGACTAGAATTGAACCCATGACTCTTTGGTCCACAGTCCAACTCTCCAACCGCTGAGCCAGACTGACCAGGGCTGTTTAAATATATATTTGTTAATCTCCCTGGGAGTATGTGTTTTTGCTAAGAAATAGTGGAGGCAGTCCTGGTCATAGCTCATAACTCATAGCATGCAGTAGGAAACAAGAGTGGCATATCAGTTACCTTCCTCACCACAGGACTTCCATCAGATCTCCTAGGTCTACCCTCTGGCCAGGAGCAACATCTGTTTCCATTCTCTACCCCAAGACCCAAGATTTTCATAAAGCCAAAGACCCTACGTGGTTTGAGCAGACTATAACAAGGCCATGTGGAGACAATGCCCTGCCTTTGCTGGCCTTCTTGGGCAGGGCATGTGGCCATCTTCTGAGTCCAAGTCCTCCCTCCTCTGGGACATCTTCTTGAGAAAAACACATTAATTGTGATGTCTCCTGACTCTGCTGTAGAATTCAATAAGTCAATATATGAGAGTTATAGATGGAATATCTTATATTGTCATACTCCAGTGAGAGATCATAGGAACATGCATGTAGTTGAACAAGTTGGATTTACTACTTGTTGCAATTTGGGAGAACATACACAATGGGAAACCATGTGGTGTCTCAGTAAGAGGTGTCAGAAAGAAACTATTATAATATTGGGGTTTTTGTTGGGTTATTGGGAAAAGTTTTGAGGGGAAAAAAACAAGTTTGTTCTATACTAGATGCTATTAGAATGCAGGGGCAATTCTATGATGGGTATTTCAATAAATATTTGGTTTGTTTATTGTAACATTTTGTTTTGAACATCAAATACTGCACCAAAATATGAGCCATTTATCTTAAGACAATGGTCTTTGCCATAGCCAAGAGTACTGGACTGATGTTTATAATTCATTTCTGATATTTTAAAACTTATTAATGGCACTGGTGTTTAAAAATAAAATATTTAATCATAGAGTGTAATTATTAAGTAAAAAGAAAACTTTACCCCTCCTTCTTTTACCTTCAAACCACAGTTTTTACCTGGAAAGGGCACCTACTTGAAACAAAAACTCTTTTTTTAAATAGTTACGTTAAACCCAAAATGCTCTAAAACAGGGAAACAAGGCTTCCTAGAGTAAATATGATGATATTGAAAAGATGTTAAAATTCCCAGGAAGAATCCATTTTCACCAAATTGCAAAAAAGAGAAAGAATTGACTTCTTACCTATCTTTAAAATGTCTTGCCCTGGCCAGTTTGGCTCAGCAGTTAGAGCATCGGCCTGTGGTGCAGAGAGACCAGGGTTCGTTTCCTGCTAAGGGCATGTACCTCAGTTGCAGTTTGTTCCTGGCCCTGGTTGGGTCGTGGGGGTGGCAGTCACTCGATTTGTCCCTTTCACATTGATGTTTCTCTCTCTCTCCCTCCCACTCTATCTGAACAAAAAATGGAAAAAGGTCCTTGGGTGAAGATTTAAAAAATAAATAAATAATAAATAAATAAATAAATAAATAAATAAATAAATAAATAAATAAATAAATGGTCTTGCCAGCACCTTAAGAACACACTGTGGAAGGGCTGTGTGCAGTCTTTTGGTGGGGGTTGGTATTTCAATAAAACTTATCTATTGGAAGGGAAAACTAGAACCCAGATAAGGCTGTGATTGGTAAAGAAGTAATAGGCACTCATTTTAGCCAAGAGAGGGGAATGTTTAATATTTTGTAACCTTGTTTTTGTCTCTGCTTAAATAAAATTACAAAGTGGCCCTTGCTTTGTTTCCTTTTATCATAGTCTCAAAATGACCTCTACTGATGTTGGTGTTCTATGAAATTATTTACATCTAATAGGAGAATACAATGGTTTATCTGTGAGTGCAAGTCCAGCTCTGAATGTCCGGAGCTGCTTTTTCTTTATTTTATTCTGAATATGTAGTCCTTTCTGTCAAATAGACTGTGAGATGCCTGTTGCCAGAGATGATGGCACTTGCTTCTCCATCCTTGGCAAGGTCTTGCACAAAGCAATATATGTAGGTATTTAGTAAATCTTTGCTGATTGATTGGGGATCAGGGGGGCTGGTCTGGGACTTTCAGAGATTCTCATCTCATGACCCTTTCCTTTGTGCATAGATAATTAATCTTCTTCTGCCAAGTTTCTCCTGAAGCTACATGTACAAGAATTAGGCCTATCTCAACTTCAGATAAAAGGTCACGAGACTGATTTTAATCCTGGCTGCTTCATTAAGTGGCATGATCTTGGGGAGGACAGTTAGCTGCCCTAGGCCTTTATTTCTGCATTTTGAAAATAATGGGCTTAGATACACTATCTAAAGGCCTTTCAAGCTCTGAAATTTTGGAAGAATATGTTTTCTCTTGCATCTCTTCTGCCTGTAAAGAAAGTGCTAAAGGGTATATGGCCACACATCATTATAGAGGAGAATAATTACTCAAAAATGATGCTATAGGTGAGCATTTTGAAACAAAAAATCTTACAGTATTTGTGTCAGTATTAATTCCAAATGGGTTCAGGAATTTAATATAAACATTCAGAATTCCCCCAAAAGGAAGAAAATGTAAAATTTTTCTCTGGATAAGAAAAGATTTGCACACTTACAATGATGTTAAAACAATGGAAAAGAAAATATTATTAGATTTTGCATCAAAATTTAAAAACTACATACTTAGAAATCTAACTAACTTAGAGGACAAAAATCAAACTGAGAAAACATTTTCAATAAATGGTTAATATCCTAAATATAATCCCATCTCATTCCACCTATCTATCTCACTGAAATCTTGACTGAAGATAGGGTATGAACTCAGCCAGGGAGGAAGTATGTAACTTGATATAGTTGGGAACAACTGATTCCTCCAAAACCAAATTAGATATTTCTCTCTGAAGGCCTGAGAGACTACACAATAATTTCTCTCCAATAGTTCAAGAACAGAAAATTTATTATTTATATAATAATACCTAATATGTGCATAGAATTTCACAGTATGAATTTGGCTTTAAGCTATTATCTTAATTGATTCTCAAAGCTAGGTGATCATTACTCTATCTTTACAGATGATAAAACTAAGGCCTAGAAATGATAAGTAACTTTCCCAAGATCACATCAGGAGGGAAATGTTAAAACCAACTCCGTACTTCAGATTGGGATTCTGCCTCAGTTTTGCTGTCTTTGTAGTAAAGATTTGGATTACAGATTTTCTGCAATGCCTTCTTTATTTAAACCAATGATTTATGATAACACCATCCTCTATTTTTGAGGTGGGACCAGTAGAAAAATAAAAACGTTGAAATTTGGTAGGGTTGATGAAAGGAAAAAATTCCTCCTCACCTTGATAGGATTTATTGGTATCATAATGTAATATCCAACTTGAGTATTACATTAATCTAAATATTACATATAATTATACACATATTTTTTTCCAAAATCATTTTTACTATTATAAAACATTTTACAGTGTGAATATAAAATAGAGTTGATTTTTCTATAATATTCAGAATTAGTTACACTTGAGGTCTTGATTAAGTGGATCTTAAAATCAACAGTCTTGATTGTTGCCTTAGAAACATCTTAGGAAGCCTATTCTTTTAATGTCTGTCATATTTAGCTTTTAGGACCTTGTCCTTTAAAAGACATATGTCTTCTTTTTATTTATTTTCTGGAGGCTTGACATAAATGTCAGGTTTATGATAACCTTCCAGCTCCTGTCGTTTACCACTTCAACACTCAGTTCTGAGTGCATACATTTCAATTCTCTCTATTCTTTCCCAAGTAGCTTCAACCACATTAAATGTTCTACTCTTGGAAGCTTTTTATTCCTGTTGAGGTCTGAGCCATACAACATTTTTTAAAATTAATATTTATTTTTGTTATACAACATTTTAATGATCTCGTCTCTATTCACAGGAGCCATTACCACGTGGAAATGGGGAACTCGGTTCACATGGCTCATGGTGTGTCCATATCGAACTACTATAGTTTTCCGGACAATCACAAAATTAAAAGGGTCAGACGGGTGGACCTGAATATAGCTCAGGAGCCAAAGACCTCAAAGAAGAGAGAGGCGATTCCGGGCCATCCCAGAATCTAAGGGCGTTGGCCATTCATTGGACACACGGCATGTCAATCCTCGCTCCTCAGTCAATGAGCGTGAAGCTTGTGAAGAGGGGGCACGGCCTCTTGTGGACACGTCTCCCTGCCCCTGGCCCTCCCCCCCCCCGGGGTCTGGGGAAGCCTTGGTGGGTGGTTCCTGACATCTGCCCCCTGCCCTTCCGGTTGGTCGTGGGGGCCTCTCCAGGCACCCCCAGAGACTGTTGTCCCTCAAGGGCCAGCGCCTCTGCCGCCCCGTGCACCTCACGTCGGGCCTCACGGTCAACGGCCTCCTCTCAGCGGCCACCATCTTGGCGGTTGAAGCCACAGCCTGATCGCTGCCGGCCTGGTTGAGGTACTGCCTGCTGCCATGTCTGACACTGACCGTGGAAACCTGGCCCCAGGTGGCCGGGAGAGCCCCGTGGGCGAGCTGGCAGCCCGGGGCAGGGCAGCGGGAGCCGAAGAGGCGGTGGTCCATGACGCTGGGCCCCCCGGGGACGGGGATGAGGCGGCCGGGGCGGGGGGAGATGGACGGGCCGTGGGGAGCCCGGGGGAGGCGGCCGGGGCGGGGGGAGTCCCGGAGGGCAGCGTCGTGGAGGAGGACTCCGACATCGGGCCGGCTGACGAGGGGGAGGAGAACGCGGAGCAGGGCCCGGAGGTGGCGGTGGACGCCTACCAGCTACCCATGGTGGGCTTCCGCTTCATGTTCCTGAACCTGGTGCGCACGCTGCTGCACCGCCTGTACTACAACGACCACGTCCTGGTGCGACCCCGCGGCACCGGCAGGATGGTCTGGCCCAGGCACCAGAGGCCCAGGCGGGCGGCCCAGATCCGTGTGCTCTTGGTGCCCGAGGCCTCTGGAGAAGGGGGCGCGGCCGCGGGGCCCGAAGGCTCTAGAGAAGGGGCCCCCGCCCCGGAGGAGCCCGAGGGCCAGGCCGAGGCCCAGGAGCAGTCTGCCGCTGGGGAGACGGAGGAGGCGGCGGAGGAGGAGCTGGTGCTGGAGGCCGAAGGCCCAGAGGGTGAGGACTGGGCGGAGCGGAGGGGAGGACGTGGAGTCAGAAGGCCCCATGGCGGGCGGGCCACCGCGGGGGCGCTGGCGGGTCCAGCTCACTCACTCGCTCACTCGCTCACTCACTCGGGTGGGTGGGGCCCTCAACACACTGCAGGCCAGGTGGGCCGAGGAAAAGCGCAACTCCATAAGGACCTTCCTTCTGCGCCTTGAAAAAATGCGTGGCCCTCTGCCAGCCTCTGCTATGAGATCTGACCTCATCAGTGCAGTTCATGGCCCTCAGACGGATGGAGGAATGTCGGGGGGTGGAGGAATGTGGAGGGATGGAGGAATGTCCCGGGGGGGGGGGGAATGTCCCAGGGGGGGGGAGGAATGTCCCAGGGGGCAGGTGTTCAGGAGGGAGCAGGGGAGGACATGAACGGGAACCTGGAGGAAAAGAACACGCGATAGCAAGTGTTTGATCCCCAAACACTGAGAACCGATTCCGAGGACTTTGTAAAAGTGAAATATTCAGGCAGCTGAGGAACTAATGAGCTTCACCATAGAATTTGTCACCGAGGCAAAAAGATGTTCGCAAGAAACTTCTGACCACAGCGTACAGAATGCCCTAGACCCCAGTGATTCTGATCTCTTCTCTGAAAGGCCAGAGGTCATCAGCAGCACAGCTTGACTAGAAACAGAGAAATAAGGTCACTGTGAAAACGGTCGAGCAGCAGAACCGTGAGGGCCATGAGAGTGTTGTAGCAGCTAGTGGCAAGGTGCCTAGCTTTCTGTTCCTAGTTACTTCCATCCTCCTGCTTCTCCTGAGGGTGGAGTAATGTAGGTTCTCATTCGTTATGAATTGGCTTTTTTTTTTCCTGTGAATATCTGATCCCAAACTCTGTCTTATTCTTCACTAAAGAGACAACTAAATATCAGCATGAAAACTCTGAGGAAGAGGCCCAAGATGCTGAAAGTAATGAAGAACAAGAGGAATTTAACAAAAAACAAGAAGGACCCAAAAAGGATGAGGAATCAGCAGAGAGCAGGTCCGGAAAATCCAAGTGTCTGTGTGTAGCTTTGAAAATCACCCAACCATTCCTAGCATTTACCTGTTCCTGACAGCTGTATTTTTTAAAAAATTCTCCCAGTAAATTAATTAAGAAAAAAGGTATTTTTTTTTTAGTTTAAAATTCAATTTTATCTACTTAGAATGTTAATAGAGTACTCATACACCTAGTAATATAAAACACATTACCTACTGAAATATACTTCATGGCTACTCATTGATTCTTATGAGGTCTTCTGTCCTCTACCTGTAAAGACTACTAACAAATGGTAAAAGTATCAATATCTAAGACGAATATTTGTCTAGAAACCAGTTACTATACACAGCAGCTAAAGTAGCTGAGCTATGTACTAACTGGGCCTTTGTGGCCACAGAAATGCAGTCTGATTATGATGCGAAGTGAAATAAGCCAGTCAGAAAAAGACAAATACCGTATGATCTCATTTATATGGGGACTCTAATGAACAAAATAAACTGACCAACGAAATAGAAACAGAGGCACGGATACATGGAACAGATGAGTGGAGGGGCGGTGGAGGGGACTGGATGAAAGAAGGTGAAGGTATTAGCCAAAGAACACACATGCATAATCCATAGACACAGACAACAGTGTGGTGATGTGCAGAGGGAAAGGGGGGGGGCAGGGGCTGGGTGGAGGTGGGCAAAGCAGAGGGATGGGGACATCTGTAATAGTGTGAAGAAAAATAAAGTTAAAAAAAGGAAACGAGTCTACTATACTAACTAGGAGACAAGGACTACTTATAAATAGCAAAAACTTAACCGTTTCAAGTAGAATGACATTTAGTGATTAATACCTAAAGTTTTGATTGTAGATGTTTGTATTTCATGTGACAGTCCAAAGAAAAGGAACTTAATCATAGTATGATTGTTATTTATCACTGAATTGGTAATGAAGTCTCGAGGTTTATCTTATCTTTGAGTATATTTAAATGGTTAACTTTTTCTCTCTTGTTTTGCACTTTCACAACTGTGTATTTTATAGCAGCCTCTCATATGGCAGATACAGAAACTGAGGGTCTGGGAGGGTAAGGGACTATCACTTGTTGAGTGAGCACAGGCTTTTAAGGTGGAGAGATTTATTTAAATCCCAGAATGGCCTCCCAAGGAAAAGAAAAAGCATTTATGGTGTTAGGCAAAAGGGAGACAAGGTTGACGTGATCATGCTTGAAGCCATGGGTTACAGGAGCACTCTATATCCAAAGGTTACAATGAGCAGATATTTGGTTCTGTACAAAATGTCCATAGACACATTTGATCCACGCCAAAAGGTCCTTGATATTTAAATTCCACTCTTCTGCAAAATTGGAACCCAGAGCCATCTACCTAACTCCATGTGCCAAGGCAAAAGGATTATTATTGGCAATACGGCCACAATACAGTTATTGGACCAATACAACACAATGGCATTTTTTAGGTATTAATCCTATAAAGCACAAGTGTAAGTAAATAGTATGGGTTATTTGAACCCAGGATGCTTTCTAAGCATGGACATTCTGAACAAGACCAAATTCCAAGGACTTTTTAGTGTGGACCAAAAGTCTCAGTGAATATTTTGGACAGGACCAAATGACCTACAAGGCAGGTTACAAGAGGGAAACGTGTTGTTCTTCTGAACTTGTTGAGATATAGCACACAAATGCAGCAGGTACACTTAGGGCTATTTCCTTAGACTTAGAAAACCATTGGAGCTGATTCATGCCTTGTAAGTGCTCATTTTCTCTCATTTCATCCTGCAGTTTGGAGGAGTAGAAAGAAGATGGAGAAGAAGAAAGAATTTGCTGTTCACTCTTTTCAGGGTTTCCATTTTCAGAAGCCCATGGGGATTTTATTAAACACTGATATCATTCCAAAGTTCACCACCCAGAAAGTGCTATACAATGGTTTCTAACTTTTGTTTCTGACAACTACATTTGACAGCATTTATTTTAGTTAAAAATGAGTTTGTTTTCATTAGTAAACTAAGATGCATGTGGATTTTATTTAGATAAATAATCCTGACTCAAATCTCTCTTACTTCATTTTGAATGGTAGCACTTTCCACCATTTTGTAAGACTGTTTTAAATTATTCTATGGAAACAAAAAATAAATTAAAATGTCAACTTGAAAACAATTTTTGTAAAGAGAGAGACAGATGTCAAGCCTTTAGAGCTGCTCTGTCCACTGTGTTAGTCACTAGCCATTTGTGGCTACTGAGCACTTAAAATCTGGCTAGTGTCACTTGAGAACTGCTGTAACAATAAAAATATTACTATGCTCACTAATAAATTGTATACTGATTGCCTGTTTAAAGGACAATATATTGAGTTAAATATACAATTAAAATTTATTTCGCCTGTTTCTTTTTTGATGTAGCTGCTAGAAAACTTAAAACTATGCATGTGACTTGTATTATGTCTGCTAGACAGAGAGGCCCTGGAGCAGTTTCGAAGGAAACCTCATAGATGGTCCAGCTTGCCTGGGGGACAGACATTGATTTGGAGCAGTGGTTGTTAAAGTTTGGTTCCCAAAACAACATCATGAGCACCACTCAGGAATTCTTAGGCTCTACCCAATACCTACTCAATCAGAAACTCTGAAGGTAGGCCCAGCAACCTGTACAATTTTTAAAAAGGTTTTTGTTTATTGATTTTTAGATAGAGAGGAAGGGAGAGGGAGAAATAGAAACATTCATTGTCTGTTCCTGCACACCCCCTACTGGGGCTCGAGCCCACAACCCAGGCATGTGCCCTGACCAGGGATCGAACCAGGACCTCTTGGTGCATGGGGAGTGCATGTGACAATGCTCAATCCACTGAGCCACACCAGCCTGGCACAACCTGTGTTTTAATGAGCCCTCCAGGGGATTCTGATGCAGCTCAGGTTTGAGAAGCATTTGTTTAAAGCCACAGGGAAAAAAGCCAAGACTCACCTATGGTAGGACCAGACCTAACTCACTGGCTTGGGACTGTTGCAGGTAAACTGAACAGGATGGCAAGGGCTGGACTGAGGAGAGTGGAACTTACAGAGGTGAGAGACAGAGGGGCTAAGAGTGTGTGTTGGCAGCAGAAAAATGCATAAGGGCAAAAAGCCAATTTCAGAAGGATACAAACACAATACTATGTATATGAAGTCTAAAAAACATGCAAAATGATCACCATGGATTGATTGTGGATCTGGAGTAAAAAGTATACATATGGGAGATGCATACAAATGTAGCATGTGCAATACCATGTGTGAGAAAGATAAACACCTCATTTAGGGTGATGGTTACCTCTTGGAGAAAGAAGGGGAAGGGGATCTTATTGGGGAGGGTTCCACAGTGAGCTTCAACTTAAGAAATGTAATGTTACATCTCTTAAGCTGGGTGGTGCATACCTAGATGTTGATAGTATTATTCTCTATACCTTTGTGTAGGTCTGAGATATTTCCTAATAAAAATGAGAAAAATAAAAAGAGAAAAGGGAGAGAATGGGCTTAATCTGTAGACTCTGTTTAAAGGGGAGAAAAGGCGGAATTATATTTGACCAAAGGATCAGAGAAGGGCAGGTGCTCTTGGAGTTGAAACTAGATGGCCTCCATTTCTGCATTTCGTTAAGGCTTTGTGAGTGCTCTCCTGGTAGCAATGATACCTTATCTTCTCTTCTCTTATATCCTGTGGTAGCACATTTCATATTGTAACTTACATTATCATTCTTTCACTGAGGTAAAATTCACTTAAAATTAACCATTTAATAGTGAACAATTCAGTGACATTCACAATTTTGTGCATCCATCAACTCTTTAGTTCCAAAATATTTCATCACCCCCAAACCCTGCCCTGTACCCATTGAACAGTCACTGCCATCTCCCCACCCCACCCCCAGCCCCTGGCAACCACTAATCTGCTTTCCACCTCTATGAATTTATCTACTCTGGACATATCATAAATGAAATCATATATCTGACCTTTTGGGTCAGGCTTCTTTCACTTAGCATAATGTTTTCAAGGTTCATCCACGTTGCAGCATGTATCAGTACTTCATTTCATTTTATGGCTGAATAATAATCTATTGTATGCATATACCTCAATTTGTTTATCCATTCTTCTGTTGATGGACATTAGTGTTGTTTCTACTTTTTGGCTATTATGAATAGTGCTACCATGAACATTCATGTCCAAGTATTTGTGCATTGTGTGTGTGTGTGTGTGTGTGTGTGTGTGTGTACTTCCCCTGCTCCTCCACCCCTGACCACCTAAACTGTGAACTTCTGAATGGTTGGGACCGTAAAAGGTTTTATCTTTCTTTTCCAAAGCCTACTGGGTTTTTCACTTAGCAGGTGTTCTACTAATGCCCCTTAAAGTGAAGCAAACTCTATATGTATTGGAAATTAACCCATTATCTGATATATCATTGGCAATTATGCTCTCCCATACAGTGGGTAGCCTTTCCTTTTTGATGATTGTATCTTTCGCTGTGCGGAAGCTTTTGAGTTTGATGTAGTCCCATGTGTTCATTTTCTCCTTTGTTTCTATTGCCTTAGGTGATGTGTCAGTAAAAATTCTGCTGTGTATGATGTCTGAAATTTTGTTGCCCACAGTCTCCTCTAGGATTTTTATGGATTCATGAGTTACATTTAAGTTTTTTGTCCATTTTGAGTTTATTTTGGTGTAGGGTGTAAGTTGATGGTCTAGTTTCATTTTTCTGCAAGTAGCTGTCCAATTTTCCCAGCACCATTTATTAAAGAGGCTGTCCTTACTCCACTGTATGCTCTTGCCACCTTTGTCAAATATTAATTGAGCATATTAACTTGGGTCCATTTCTGGGTTCTCTGTTCTGTTCCACTGGTCTATATACCTGTTCTTGTGCCAGTACCAGGCTGTTTTGATTATAGTGGCTTTGTAGTATAACCTGAAATCTGGTATTGTGATCCCTCCAACGTGGTTCTTCCTTTTCAAGATTGCTGTGGCTATTCGAGGCCTTTTTTGGTTCCATATGAACTTTTGAATTAATTGTTCTAATTCTGTGAAGTATGCCGTTGGTATTTTGATGGGGATTGCGTTGAATCTATAGA